TGCTGTAGTTCATGCTTTAGGCTTGCTCCCACAAAGGGCTAAGCAGCCTTTAAGGTACTAAAAAGCTTCACGTTTTGCCGGTACGAATGAAGGATGCTTGGGCTATTCTTGAATTAGGCCATTAGGTTGTCTGGTTTTGTCGTCTTATTTAGTTACTATCTTTGTGTTGAAAATGTCATTAATACTGCTAACCATCCCACCCCCACTCACTCTCTCTGTCCCAGTGTCTTTGCTGAGGCAACCGACAGAGGCAGTGCTCATTGAAGTTCACAGAATCATAGCATGGGTTGGGTTGGAAGGCACCTGAAAGCCCATCCAGCTCCAACTCCCTGCCATGGGCTGGTTGTCCAACCCCAGCTCAGGCTGCCCAGGGCCCCATCCAGCCTGGCATTGAGTACCTCCAGGGTTGGGGCACCCACAGCTCTGGGCGGCAGTGCCAGTGCCTCACCCCTCTCTGAGTAAAGGATTTCCTCCTAACATCTAACCTAAATCTCTCCTCTTTAGGTTTAAAACTGTTCACCCTTGTTCTGTCACTGTCAGACCATGTAAGAAGTCAATCTCGCTCCTGCTTATAAGCTCCCTTTAAGTAATGAAAGGCCTCAAGGTCTCACCTTCCTGGGGAGCACAGCAGGTTTGATTTTCAGCTGTCAAATAAGAAAAGATGTTTGTTTCTTTTGCAAGCCTACGTTCTTCTCTGTCAGCTCAAGCTATCTATCTGGGAGATGGGCTTCCCTGAGAAAAAAAAGAGGCATTTGGACTTGAGAAGAGCTGCCCTCAATCTGTAAAGCATTAATCGGAATAAAGCATTTTTATTCCACGTAAGTAATGAAGAAACTAGTGGCGGTTTCTCCTTCCAGTATAGCATTTATTTTTTTCCTACCCACAAAGGAACAGATGGCCATCTTTTAGAAGGAAAGCACTTTTTTATGGCACACTTTTGCTGGACATACAATACCCTTATGTTAACAGATCACACTGCTTGTTCTTTTTTTTTCTGTTTATTTTCCTTAGCACATATTTCAGCATCCCTACTTTATCAGTTCAGTTTCACAAAAGATAACAAATAAATACAGAAAATTTGATGATAGCATTACTCTTTTTGTGATCAGTGTATGCTCCAGCATACAGGATGTTGTTGGCACTGGTTTTTAAATACAACTTCTTTAATAAGAGGCCTTACTTTTTATTTTATTAAATATTTATTTTTCTTTGCATTTGCAAATCTAAAGATGTTTCTGCTAAAAATAAATCCTGTGAGGCAGACGAGAAGATTCAACAGAAATCATCTCTGCCAGTGGCTTTTTTTCAGCGTGACTAATTGCCTATCTGGGACTGCTTCACATTCAGGGCAGTGCACCTCTAGCATCCCTGCCCTTCAGACAGCCTCTGGCACAAAGTTCTCAGTCATCAGGTACTGAAGGACGGCAGCTGCTTCTATCATTTCCCAACTCTGATGGGAAATGTGGAATAAAGTAGTAATTAAGAAGTCTGTCCTGAAAGGGGCAAGTCTTGTACATTATTTACAAGTAGGAAGCTAGGACTGACAATAGCAGTAACTTTCCAGGAAGAAACAAAGCAAATATAAAATCTCTGGAATCATCTTGGGTGTTTCTGGACTGCTATCTTCAGATTAAGCAATTAGTTGTTATATATATTTTTGAAAGTATTAGAAATAGGCTGTTTTGTTGCCAAATGCATAGACAAATGTTGTATGTTTCAAACATTTTCATTCCAAGGTTCTAAAAAACTGGTTAATTGTCTTTATTTTTAAATTCATTAAATGGTGGAAAAAAAAAAAAAACACAACTATCTTAGAGCTTGACTATGATTCCTATCCCTGCAATGAAGATGTGTGAAAATGACTCGTTAGCTTGCTGTGGTTTTAATGAGTTCCGGGACAGAAGTATGACAGCAGTAACGTCAGGGAAGCTTGAGAAGCACAGAAAAGATTATTTATTTAACAAAAAAAGAAAACGAGAAAAAAAACCCACAAATGTACCTATTAAGAATTCCACACACGCTCCTAGGAGCCTGCATGGGGGTGGATCTCACAGTGCTCTCAGGGTTTGTTCACAGACTCGGGCCAGGGTTGCATTCTTACTTCTGTGTCCTGCACTTCTGTAAATGTGTCTGTTCTCCATCTTGGATACCGTTTGGCCGACTTGCGCTGCACAGAAATGAGCTCAAGTATTATTTTTTTTAGCTGCTTGTGTTGGATTTCTCTGATGCCAGCGGCTGCACCTCAGCAGGTCTTCAGTTAGTGCCCCCCCATATCCTGCCACCAAAAATAAAGCATGGTCCAGTCACCACAAGAAGGGAAGTACCTTCTTCTCTCCTCTCTGCTAGCTGTAGGAAATGTCACTGTATGCTGTTATCCGTGGTATAGTCACTGTTTTGGCCACAGAGCGTTCCTCACGCCGAGCTTGTACATGCATGCCTTTGTCTGCTCAGTGGCGTTGGTCGTCACAACTGGACAAGGATTCAGAGAGACCTCTGCCAGCCCCTACCATGAAACAGGAGTCAGTTGTTCTTTGCTTGGCACCCAGAGTGTATGCTAACCAGCTTAGCCTTGCTAAGAGATATGGAGAGAGTGGTCCACAAACGTTCTTGGCAGACTGCTGTTAGTACACATGCAGTAACTTAGTGATGGGGCAAGCTGACGAAGACAGATTTTGTTTTTTTTACTGAGTGGATAGGTATCCTTAATTCTGAAGCTCTGGTTTTCAGGAAACAAGCAAAGAACTACCTTTATTTCAAGGCAAAACATTTGAGGTTTCTTTGGATGCAATCTGCAATTCTTGGGGGGGGCAGGTTTAAAATCTTTCTTTGCTTGTGTCTGTCCTTGAGCTGACAGAGTAATTTCTTTTTCTGGATGAAGCTTGCAAAAATCTCGCTTATACATGTGTTAGAGTTGACTGCCATAATCCCAGGCACGTGTCATGTATATAAACAATAACCTTCTTGAGCCTGCCAATGGTTGCATGCATCTTTGATGGTAAGTCAGAAGGAAAAACAATACAGGAAAGAGAAAGAGGGATGTTTACGTGCTCACTGCAGATTCCCTTTGGTCTGTCACGAAGGTAGGAGCCTGCAAACTTTGTTCTCTATGCTTACCTATTCTTCCAAGCAAGTACTCGTTCTGCTAGAATGTGACTAAGAAAACTAGGGAGCAATATAATTTGTTGAAGTTGATAATGTGGAAAATTGCACTGGACAGCTTCCCAGCAGATCGCTTTAGCATATCTGTGTCAGATGCCTTGTGCTTTAATTGAGTGGCACCACATTCATAACTGCTTGGGGATCACTCTTGGTTTCTGTGAGGCTCACTGATGTTTGCCTGGCCCAGCTTACACATCAAATGGAATCAAAGCTGCAAGGACCACAGCTGGATGCAGTGGCTGAAGGTGGCAGTTGTGAATGTGGGTCAGAAGAGCCAGCAGCCACATGCACACTTCAGTCACAGTGCTCTAAGGGAGGAAGTGTACAAACTGAGAACATGAGTATTATTTGTGTGCCACCTCTCCTCTATTTCCTTCAATCCTTTCAGAGGCTTGAAACAGCTTGTTTTCTGAGGAGAGACATGTAAAAGAGCTTTTAAAAGTCCTGTTCTTTCTAATCTCTGTGACTGAGTGTTGTTTCTTTATTTGCCTCTTTCTATGCTCAGTGACTGCTAACCAAGATTGTTTAACTGGCTCAGATAAAGTGCTTGAGGTACTCATTTTTCTGCCCTTTGAACTGCCTGTTTACAGCAACATTTAGAATCTTTAAGCCTGGGCTGGACAGAGTTATCCTCCACTTTGTGCTTAGCCTAGAGCTGTGGCCAGCCATCTCAAGTCAACGCTTGCATCAAGGGCTACCAGTTGTCACAGGCTGACATACACTATTGAAAACATGGGTGAATAGTGGCAGCTGGTTGTTTTTTGAAGTCAGATACTTTTGCTGCTGAATATTCTGTGTTTCATTTGATATCTTAGTCTGTTGTGCTGGACAGATGCAGGTACTGCTTCTATTCCCACTGAAGTTGGTGAGAATTTGGTTGGTGGATTCCTTAGCAGCAGCACCTTGCTGCTTTAATAAGCAAGTACTGATACAGCCCTAGGTACTGAGGTTGGTCCCTAGAGGTGTTGCATGGCCAAGGAAGCAGGTGGACAGTAGGGAGCCTTCTTGTTTTTTTGCTCCATCATGCAAAGCTTTTCATGGCAGAAGTGAGTCAGCACAGAAAATTTGAAGCATGCAATTCTCTTACATCTGTATCTGCTGAGATTTTTTACCTTTGAGCTAAAGATGCACAGAGGCAATTGCTTTTTGTCACACTGTTTATATTAGTGTTAAATAATGCTGCTAAGTCAGTCTGTAGAACAGCAACAAGAAAACAGCCTCTCAGCTCTTCAGGTGTGACGCTCACAAGCTGCTGCCATCTGCTGAAGCAGGAGAGCTGCTCAAGGTGGGAACCAGTAGCAAAGCACTGTGTAGCCCTTGGTGAAAAGAGCACCACCTTCCTAAGTGAGGCCAAATTCACACTGGGAGCTGCTCTGGTGTACTGGTGCTGCATCTGCACTGCGGATGCTATGCATACAGACATACATTTTAGGAAGATCTGCAAAAGAATTCTGCAACTCTTGACTGGATCAGGATGTAACAAACTCTGAACTCCAGTTTAGTCTGAAGCAACCAGTTTAGATCTAGACTGGTGTCTGCTAGGTTTTTTATTCAGGGTATCCAGATGAAAGTAAACAGAGGAGGAGCCTACATTTTCATTGTTTATCAGAAATGTATCTCATTTGCTGTACATTCCTTTTTTAGGACATGTTATCTGTTTAAAAAAAAAAAAAAAAGAAAAAAGAAAAAAACAACAAAAAAGATAAAAAGCAAAAACAAATGTGTAGTGAAAATCTTCTGTAACTTTGGATTAAGAGGTAATTATGATCTTTTTAAAAAGAGAACTAAGTTATTTACTTTGTAAATGTGCTGATGGCATGGATCCATCTTACTGACCTCAGCATCTTTTTTTTTTTTTTTTTTTTTTTTTTTTTTTTTTTTTAAGATTTTGGGTTTTGTTTCCAATATTAAGTTATTTTAAATTGTGGTTGAAGCAATAGAAAATTGAAATATGGATTGTGCATGACTGTGTCTTGAGTGTAAAAATATTGCAGTTTGAAACTTGGACCTAAAGTATTGCAAATAAAAGTTATAAATACCAGTGGAGAGTGTGAACTGCAGCCTTTCCTACGCTCTGTTGATACTTTCTGACAAAAAATGTCAGGGATGGATAAAGATTACCAACCTCAATCATCTGCCCTTAGAAAGACTTCATCTGTTTGTCTGTGTGGAAAAACTTTCAACTTTCACCTGTGCCACCAGAACATCATGTTATGAAGCAGGATTTACTTGTCTAAGCCTGTACTTACCCTCTCCTGCTAGAGCTTCTTGTGTCTGCAGCAGCTAACAGACTCTTTGCTGCTCTGGTCTGGATAAACGCACTGAGTGCTGCAACTTCTCAATGTGTTGTATGTCTGTTTGCTCTGTATTTATTAAAAAACAAAGAAAACAAAACATCCCCTCCTCATGACTGTGGTGAGTTACAGAGATGGCAGTAGTGATTGTCCGCCCCTACGAGAACCTCGTTAGTCTTTTAAACTGCTTTATAAGCTCTTATACAGCTGCTCACATAAAGCTGTGATAAGATCACCTGGCCAAGTGCTCAAAAGTTAAGCAACACCAAAATTAGATGTATATGGGCCACCATGGAAACACCACTCCTGTACCTGCTGTACTGTGCAGGGCTGTACTGCATCCAGTAAACGCTCTGTCTCAGAGGGGTTTTTTGCTAGCAGTGGAGAAAGGTGGGAGGGGCAGGCTGCAGCCATGGGCACACTCCCCCAGACCTCAGCCTGGCTTCCCAGTGTCACCAACTTGTGTTTAACTCACAACAAGACATTGATCCCAGCTACCTGTTGCCACCAGGTCTGTGAAGGTGTGTCCCAGCTCTGCTGAGTCTGCACTTACCTCCAGGCCCTCAAAGGTCTCCAGGTTTCTGTTCTCCAGAAACATTCAGCAAGCATCAAGGAATGGCAGTGGGTGCCATTTTTCCATAGGAGGAAATTCAATACACACCTTTGCTTTATCTGTGTTTCCATGTCAGACGCCATGCTGTCAGACTGCCCCTCTGCTGCCATCTGTCACATAGCAACAATATAACAGGATACTGGTGGGAAGGTTCAGCCTTTAGGGCTGTACTGCCAACATCTGCCTCTGACATTGCAGACCAGCATCACAAAATAGGAGGCACTGCTTTTGGAGCACTGTGTGTGTGTACAAATAAATAAAATACCCGATATACTAGTTTTATAAATGCTCTGTATGTTATACAGTATATTTTCTATATATTGTACAAATGTGTACAGAAACCATTATGTTGCTGTGTAATACCCGTTTACAGAATCACAGAATCACCAAGGTTGGAAAAGACCTACAAGATCATCCAGTCCAACCCATCACCAATAGCTCTCACTACACCATGTCCCTCAACACAACATCCAAACATTCCCTGAACACCTCCAGGGTTGGTGACACCACCACCCCCCTGTGCAGCCCATTCCAGTGCCTGACCGCTCTTTCAGAGAAGCAGTATTTCCTAATGTCCAGCCTAAATCTCCCCTGGTGCAGCTTGAAGCCATTCCCTCTAGTTCTATCACCAGTTACACGAGAGAAGAAGCCGACCCCCAGCTCACTACAACCTCCCTTCAGGTAGTTATAAGAGCAATGAGGTCTCCCCTGAGCCTCCTCCAGATTGAACAATCCCAGCTCCTTCAGCTGCTCCTTATAAGCCCTGTGCTCCAGACCCCTCACCAGTTTTGTTCCCCTTCTTTGAACCCGCTCCAGGGCCTCAATGTTTTTCTTGCAGTGAGGGGCCCAAAACTGGACACAGTACTCGAGATGAGGCTTCACCAGAGCTCAGTACAGGGGGACAATCACTGCCTTGTTCCTGCTGGCAACACCGTTCCTGATGCCAGGATGCCAATGGCCTTCTTGGCCACCTGGGCACACTGCTGGCCCATGTTCAGCCCAGCATCAATCGACACCCCCAGGTCCATTTCCTCTATGCAGTCTTCCAGCCTCTCTGCCCCAAGCCTGTAGCGTCGCCTGGGGTTGTTGTGGCCATAGTGCAGGACTCAGCATTTGGCCTTATTGAACCTCATCCCATTGGCTTCAGCCCAGCCATCCAGCCTGTCCAGATCCCTCTGCAGGCCTCGCTACCCCCAGGCAGATCCACACTTCCAGCCAACTTGGTGTCATCTGTGAACTTGCTGAGGGTGCACTTGATGCCCTCATCCAGGTCATCAATAAAGATACTGAAGCGGACAGGCCCCAGCACCAACCTCTGGGGAACACCACTGGTGACTGTCACCAGCTGGATTTAACTGCATTCACCACCACTCTTTGAGCCCTCCAGCCAGCTCCTCATCCAGCCAAGAATGCACCTGCCCAAGCCACGGGCTGCCAGCTTCTGCAGGATAATACTGTAGTTCCCTGAATCCTCCTTACAACTCTTCGTGTAGATGGGAGTCACATTAGCCTTCTGGGACCTCACCAGTCAACAAGGAACGCTGATAGATAATGGAAATGCCCATCACCTCCACCAGTTCCCTCAGCACTCTCGGGTGAATCTCATCCAGCCCTATGCACTTGGAGCAGTCCAGTTTCCATCATATATGTATTTTTATGTGTATATATATATATACACACACACACACACATACAGATACACACAACTATAAATCACTGTATTTTGTGCATGTAATTAGATAGAACATAAATGCATATAAATTGCTAAAAAGATGCACATGTGTTTGCGCAACTGTGTATTTACACAGATGTATGAAGAGTGCATTTCTATATATACCCAATATATTTGAAGGTATTGAGCATATGCTATAGAGTTATATGCATAAATTATCATATATAGCATCCATATATACCACCCTCTCTCTGCAAAACGCTCCCTCTCTAGCCAACTACATATAATATAGTATTTAGCTTATACATTGTGTATATAAAGTCCCTTCTATAAATATGAATCACACTGTTTATACATATTTATAGTACATGATCTATAATACAAACTATATACTATACATACTTCATGTATGTGTATATATATGTACATGTACACTCACACAGAGCACCTCTCTGCTTATACACACACACAACACACATACAGAAGTGTCCTCTTTCTCATACAGAGTCAAAGAATCATTCAGGCTGAAAAAGACCTCTGAGACCACTGAGTCCCAGTGCCTATCTATCCTGCCGTGCCACTAACCACATCCCTCAGTGCCATGCTGACCCTTTTCTTGAACACCTCCTCGCTTGCTGACCCACCACCTTCCTGCACAGCCTGTGCCAGTGCAGCACCACTCTTTCCAAGAAACTTTTTCCTAAAACATGAACCTCCCTCAGTGCAAATTAATAGATGTATGTATTTTATATATGTATCTGCACACACATACGCACACACTGATACCTACAGTGTAAGCATGTGTAGAGCTATGTATACATACACAACTACACATACATACACATACATACCATCCTCAATCCATCATGTATACGGGCATTTATGTAAAGAGCTGCGTGTAGGTACATATGTAAAAGATACACAGGATGAGATCTGAGACAAAAACCCAACGCTGTGTATTATCTATGTACACCTACATATGTCAGTCACGCAAGAGACGCTGAAATGCACTCTGCGTACGTTACATAGGACACAGCGTATGTATTTGTGTCTGTGGGTACATACATACACACGTATAGAAAAACACAAATGCAGACTCATCACTCCCTCTCTAGTCATCTATATGGAGCTCTAGCATGTATTTTATATATGTATATTGGTGCCTACACACACAAACAGTACATAAGAATACATACTGATATAATCTATATGTAATTAAAATACAGGAGGAGATAGTGAGTGTTCCATCACTAACACACTCACTAGCCATCCAACTTTCTTAAATATAGGTGAGCATGTACATATATTTTTAAGCTTTTAAAAACATACATACACACACAGGCATACAGCTCCTTACATAACTTTATAACACTGCTGTCTACATTAACAGACATTTACACAGACCTCACACAACTACAAACTCTATATACTGAACATCTATAAGTGCACACGTACACACACGTTCATACGACCAGGAGCTCTGCACGCGTGTTCTCACCTGAGTCGCACCCACAAAACGCGCCATGAAGTCCCCAAGCGCCACGTGCCAGGCCGACAGGTAAGATGGCGGCCGCAGCGCCGCCTGCGGGGGACGGCGCGGAATGGCGGCACGCGGGAGCCCCTCACCACAGCCTGAGGCGATCCGCGCGCGGCTCGAGCGCCGCCATGCGGCCGCGCGCCCAAGGCGGAGCTGCGGGCGGTAACGGCGCGGAGCAGCTGCGCGGGGAACAGAGGCGTGCGGGGATCTGCGCGTCTTTCTCTCCCCCCCGCCCCCAAACTGACTGAGGGCGGTTAGGGTCACGCCGAAGTGATTTTTCTTTTATCTGAAACAAGAATGTTTCATTGCAGAAATTATTCAAGGGGTTTATATTTTGTTAGCCTTTTGTTTAGGTTGCTTCGTATTGAAAAAATAAAGCTTGAAATTTGAAATAAAATATTTTTCAGACTTGTTTTAATGTGGGGATTTGCGGGGGACCGAAGCCGCACACACACCCAGGCAGTTACCGTGAAACAACATTTTCCCACAGGGTATGGCTGACTGCTGACAAACACCGCCGGGCTCTGGTAGCGTTTGAGCAGAGAAAGCCGCCTGGCCCAGCTGGGTGCTGTCTGCCAGGAACCCTCCTTGGGCTGTGCTCTGACCCCAGTCAATCAGCCAGATCAGCAAACCCCTCTTTACTGCACCCATCTCAGAAGAAAGAGTTCTGCAAAATTGTCTGAAAAGGGGATTATGCAACAAAACCAACTCTGCTCTCCCCAGGTGCTCACCTTTGCTGCCTGCGATCCTCAACAGCTCTGCAGCCCTGCTGCTCTGCCTGTGCAGGCAAGGTGTGTCTGATGGGCTGCTAGGAGGCAGAGCTATAGTGAATAAAATAGTGCATGAGGAAAAGTAACATAAACAGGTCAGCCCAGACTGAGTGGCAGCTCGCTGTGTGTCTTGCCTGAGCTCTGGTCTGTATAAG